TAGCAAGACAAATTTTACATAAGTTTGTCGACAAATAACAGGTGTATTAGGAACAGAAACACCTCCTCGCCCATTATATGCTCCTGATACAGAATTGGCAAATATTTCCGAAAAATTTTACATAAGTTTGTCGACAAGTAAAGGGTGTATTAGAAACACCTCCTCGCACATTATATGCTCCTGATACAGAATATTTATATCGAAATAAAGCTTTGAAATAATTCTTATAGTGATAGAAAAAGACCTTTTTCTGCATTATGTTCTCCTAGTAGCCCGAAAAATTTTACATAAGTTTGTCGACAAGTAACGGGTGTATTAGGAAAAGACACACCTCTTCGCACATTATATGCTCCTGATACAGAATATTTATATCGAAATAAAGCTTTGAAATAATTCTTATACTGATAGAAAAAGGCCTCTTTCTGCATTATGTTCTCCTAGTAGCCCGAAAAATTTTACATAAGTTTGTCGACGAGTAACGGGTAGGAAAAGACACACCTCCTCGCACATTATATGCTCCTGATACAGAATATTTATATCGAAATAAAGCTTTGAAATAATTCTTATAGTGATAGAAAAAGACCTTTTTCTGCATTATGTTCTCCTAGTAGCCCGAAAAATTTTACATAAGTTTGTCGACAAGTAACGGGTGTATTAGGAAAAGACACACCTCTTCGCACATTATATGCTCCTGATACAGAATATTTATATCGAAATAAAGCTTTGAAATAATTCTTATACTGATAGAAAAAGGCCTCTTTCTGCATTATGTTCTCCTAGTAGCCCGAAAAATTTTACATAGGTTTCACGACAAATAACAGGTGTATTAGGAAAAGAAACAATCCCTCGCACATTGTATGCTCCTAATACAGAATTGGCAAATATTTAAATCGAAACAAAGCTTTGAAATAATTCTCATAGTAATACAAAAAGACCTCTCCTCTTCCTGCATTATGTTCTCACAGTAGCAAGAAAAATTTTACATAGGTTTGACGACAAATAACAGGTGTATTAGGAAAAGAAACACCTCCTCGCACATTATATGCTCCTGATACAGAATTGGCAAATATATAAATCGAAATAAATCTTTGAAATAATTCTCATAGTGATACAAAAAGACTTCGTGCATTATGTTCTCCTAGTAGCAAGAAAAATTTTACATAAGTTTGTCGACAAATAACAGGTGTATTAGGAACAGACTTCTTTGCGTTTAACAACGGTTTACATCTTCGCAAAAGCTAACGTGCTTGCGGCAAAATAAACCATTCCGTGTCAGAATACTAGAAGTAGAAGTGACAGAGAACCTATCATTCTTCTTGCCTTCTTATTAGAGATTGCCCCCCCCCCCCCCATTTTATCAGCAATTAGCCGTGAACCGTAATTTGCCCGCTTGCGCATAGCGAGAGGCAAGATAGTGCAGGCATATAAACTGTAAATGACGTGGTTTGTGAGCAGCACCCGAAGGGGTAGGTAACTCGCACTGATAGGGCTCAGATTATACCCCAGAATACCATATAAACATTATGTGATTTACTTACTGACATTTGTGGCTAAATATGCAAGTTTTTTATAGTTAAAACACCGGAATATGGAAATCGGCTAGTTTGCGCCTAAGTGGATACGCGGCCTTATTCATATGAGCTTACCTGTGCCCCAGTGAATGACTCCAAATATTCTAAAGATGTCTTCACAACCATATCGCTATGTTGAAAGAATAGTACCAGTCATTTGCAATCAACATTTCTGTAGCCCCCCCCCCCCACTCCTAGCAGGGTTTGCAGCGGAAAATGAGCGTAGCGCCCCATCGGAACTTTAACAGGAGGAGCTGAAGAGTATGTGTGCCAATTTTCATAGCTTTTCGTAAAAAGTACGAACTTTACCTCATTTTAGGACCTAAGCACCCAGACTAGCAGGCCTGAAAAAGCTTAGAAACGGCCCGACGAATTTTAGGAAATTATGGGAATTGTTTGGTGATTAGCAAAGTGTGTAGGACTCCACAAAGCTTTCTAATACCTTTCAGCAGCCTCAAGAGGGAAATGCGATAATAAAAAACACCTAAACTGCCATGAAAAGTTTTCTATCATTACCAAAGTATATTGTTGTGTAAACTACGTCATGCAGACTTTTATTTAGAATCAGAACCTGTATATGTTTAATTCCCTTTATTTTTGACGTTAAATGTTGGTCGCTAATGTAGAATGAACACAATCTCACACAAAGTCATTGTTCATTTTATTCAGGATGATTTATATAATAATGATTTTGTCTATATAATCGCCTTTTAGTTTGTTTATTTTATTGTTCAGATACTTTTGTGTATAATGTTTTGTAAAAGTTTATCTCATGTTATCTTCGGTCATTGCGATAAGAGTTTGTTATCGCTGCGTAGATCTAATTAAGTCACATGAGCACTTAAGCAGATGTTATTACATCGGCAAAAAAAGCATCTGCTCTTATAGGTGTGAATTTATTGAAGACGCAAATTCAAGTAGAGGACAAATTAGGAAAAAGAGTCTGGACTGTGTAAAATTTGTATTGAAGGTAAACTGCCACGTAGTCCATTAAATCATACAAGCGAAAGAGCAAAACGGCCATTCTGATGTGTATGGACCGATTAACCCAGTTTTTTTGAATGGTTCGTTATATTTCGTTTCCTCTATAAATGATTTCGCACATTTTGCAAACATTCACTGGATTAAAAAGAAATCAGAAGCATTTGATGGTACGAAAGCAAAGCAATGGCTACGGCTAAGTTGACACTGCCGATTTTAAAATTAAGAACAGATCAAGGTAGAGGGTACTTGTCTAAGGAACAGGATCAATGGTATAAAATGAAAGGAATTCAAATACACACAACTATTGCATATTTGCAGCATCAGAGTGGAGTGGCAGTGGCAGAATTCTCACTGAAAAAATTAGAATGTTGTTGGTGGAATCCCAGATGCCGAAAAGAAGTGGGGTGAAGCTGCTTTAACTGGAGGGTATTTGATCAACCAAAGTCCTACAGCTACCCTGAATGACAACAAAACTCCGCCGGCTGAAAAATGGTATGATTATTCACCAGATAAGAGTGTTTGGGTGCAAAGCATTTGCGTGGACTCCAGATCAACTGAGAAGAAAACTATCTATCGAGGGAATCAGTTATGATTGGCTATGCTCCTAATGAGTATAGATTGTATAAAAACGGCGAGTTTTCCGTATGAGAAAAGTTCGGAAAATGCTGTCTTTCAAGGACCAAGGAATACGAATTTCAAAGATCTCGAGCAAGAGGAGGAAAATGGTTTTATCGAGAATGATGTCTCGGAAAATTCAATTATTGAAAATCAATAAGGAACAACTGAAGAGACATGATGTCTCAAATCCAGAAGGAAATGAAAATGAGATTTCCCAGAAGTCTAATGCCGAGGAACTCCCTTCGCCAAGGGATCAATGTTATGAAATGTACTTGAGACGTAGCGATATAGGGAGCGCAAGAGATCGACTAAGTTGATGAATTCACATCAATGGAGAACAGCAATGTATGGAAGACTGTCGAAAAGCCTGGTTTGAAAGAAGTTAAGGAGTTAAAATGGATTTTTTCTATAAAATATGATGACAATGGTGTTCCAAAGAAACATAAGGCAAGGCTAGCATATTTACAGAAGCATGGATTCGACTATTTTGAAACTTATGCGAAGCTCATCACAATTCGAGCAAAGAATACTTAATAATTACTCTTTGATTCGACTTTTATTAGCTGTTGGTATTGGTCTGGAATATTTTTTCCAACAGCTGGATTTGAAAACAGCCTTTTTGCATGGAGATCTAAAAAACACTTTCAGATATGGAAAATATGAAGACGTTATTGTCTGAACAATTTTCAATGTTAGCTTGCGGAGAGCTGAAAAATTTCCTGGGCATGAAAATTGAAATAGGTTCAGGCTACGTAAACTCAGCCCTAAGATATTCAAAAGATTTTAATGAAATTTGGCTTCCAAGATTGTAACGCAGTGAAGACTCCTATTGAGAAAGGATAATAAAGTAGCTTTGTAGAACTTTTGACGACAATAACAACAGGAAATCATATCAAGAGTTGCTGGGTAGTGTGATGTATTTAATGTTACATGTTCGTCCTGAATCCTGATATTTGTTTCTTTATCAATTATCGTGGTAGATTTCAACAGCACCTTATAGAAGAGCATTGCCAATCATTGAAGAGGGTTGTTCATTATCTAAAAGGGATCAAGAAAATGGCGCTAAGTTTTTCTGTTAATAGTAACATTCCACTTGTGGGTTTTGCGGATGCTGACATATGACAGCCCCGTCGAATTCCCAGTCAGATACCAAGATGCGTAACTTTACAGTTAATCTGCGCCACAATAAAAAATAACCCCTAGGTAGGTAAATGGGCCATATACGACTTATTCTTTTTTCTTTGATTGTGAATCCGGAGATCAAGGTAGGGCTACGAAGGTTATCAAAATTTAAGCTCCGACGAGCGCAACACGTCACTTTACTTATTCGGAGATTGCAATTCTATTCACTCTGCTCCAGTTTCACTCTCAGATTTCGAAATTTTACACGAATTAGGGATGGATACTCGCCATGTTTCCGAATAAAACTCGTTCATTAATAGAATGATACCTACCTTTAAAACATTCTTAAATAACAATTAAGGGTAAAAGTAGAACAAGAATGCCGTTTACTCAAGTTTTATTTTGAAAGCTTGAACAGAAAATAGAGGCGACAAGAGAAATAAGCATTGGTTTTTTTATCCGTACCGCAGTTATAAACGTTTATACTCTTTCAAATCTATTAGAAGTAGTAAAAGCTATTCACGACAAAATAATAGTAGCGATACAATTTATGTGCAATTTCATAAAGCTTGTGCAAATAAATTTTCTTGGCATAAATGAGTTGGCGCTCATTTCGCGATTTGAGCAACTTTTAAGTGGACAATAATTTACATAAATTACACGCGTCGGGTTTTGATTTGGTAACGATCAATAAAAGTAAATAAATAAAAAGGAGAACAACTGAATGCAGTTTTTATTTTTTTTTTAAAGACTGTAACAGAAACGGCAAGTAAAGAAGGAGACTCGCTAAATAAAAAAAACAATCAAAATAAAATACAACTAAGTCTTTGTACACGCCGGTTGAAACTAAATTGGTTTTCAACGCCGGGAAAAATAAATTATTTATACATAAGGTTATTAAATTAACTAATTGAAAACCATATTAGTATCAACGTTCAACAAAGAAAAAAACAGTGGGCTTTTTCACACACATCGCAATGAAACTTAAGTAAAACTTAAACGTACTTAATACAATATTAAAAATAAATATGAGTGGACCTTTCAACAATTGTAATATACAACAATAACTTGACACGATTCCAATTTCGATTTACCATCAAAGTTATATACCTCTTAATGTACAATGTAACAAAATATTTTATATTTATTACAACTGGCACAACATGTAACAATTTTCATTAATTTAAAAATTTCTCTTTATTTTCAGTTTGCATTAGCACAACATTATAAAAGGCAATATGTGATTTACAACAGAAATTTAGTAGGTAGGTACCTATAATGCCCAAGAAGTCGGATTATAATATTTTTAATATCACGAGAATCTCAGACTCACAAGAAAATTTATAAACAATTTTTTTATATCAAAAATAACGACGTTAAGTTTTATAAGTCTTTTTTAAAACAAAAAAGATCGTATTAATATATCACAGCAATTGTTTCCTCATAATTTTATTTTTTTAAAGTGCATAAGGGCTTAGGTTGCTCTAAGTGATTATGCACCTTATTTTTATATGTACGTCTAAGACTTCGTGAAGTAGTATTCGGCGCGTCTCTAAAATGGCGGATATGGTTACAAAATGCTGCCGCTGGCCATTTTCTGTTTGGCACTAAATAATAACTCATCGTGAAATGGCGGGCATCTTTTTCAACTGGCCTAATTTGAAGTCGCACGTATTTACTGGAATGAATTGAGATCTAGTGTATACTTCAACACCTTTGGTATATACGTGCCACCGTGAATTAATGGGGGGGTGGAAGAAATTTCGTTTCTTTGTTCCCGAAGGACGTAGAGTAACAACAAACGTTTAATTGACGTTAACAGGCTACCAGTTCTTACTGCGTTACTGCAGTAGCATCACTACGTATGTGAGACATACGCAATCACAACCACAAGGAAAGGGGTTTCTAAAACCTAACAGTAATAACATGAATACAAATACGCAATGTGAAAAAAGCTTAGTGTTCTGACTTGACTGCGGTGAGTGGATCCGGCTCATATCGTGTATGCGTTCGCATATGTCTCGTGATCATGTCTCGACGACAGGCCGCATAAGGACACTGGGGACATTTGTAGGGTTTTTCTCCGGTATGGGTCCGTTGGTGCGTCGAGAGGTGATCAGATCTTGAAAACACTTGCCCACAGACACGACACGTGTACGGTTTGACACCAGTATGTAACCTCATATGACGTGTAAGCATATCACTACGCGCAAATGACCTTTTACACACCTCGCACAAGTAAGCTTTGGCAGTGGTTTCACCTGGACTCTGTCGACTTTTATGCCTGGACGCCATGTGCTTGGCCAAACGATCGTGTAGGCTAAACATCTGCCCACAAACGGGACAAACGTACGCCACATCAGATCCAGGTGGCATTTCTTCCACCACCGGCGAAACCTCCAAGTTGTACCTGGACGCTACCGAGCGCTTGGTCGTTGGCGACGCAACGTCACCTTGAACAATAGGTACGGACACGGCGCCACGAGGTGGAAGAAAACCTGTTGGCAATATCTGTAAGGGTCCAGGCAGACAGTCCATACTCCCCCTCTGATTCCGCTTGTGCATCGACAGATCCAAAGGGGAGTCTTGAGGCGTGCTCGGGTCCGACTCCACCGATCCTTTTACCAAGCTCAACGGTTGTAACCACGCAGGCGGATGACGCGTCCTTTCGGTTTTGGCGTACTCGAACCATAGCGGTATATCGGAATCGGAGTGACTTCTTTTACGGAAAATATCAGGCAGGTACTTGGAGTGTAGGTAACGTTCGAAGTTGTAGGTGGGAGGGGCGGGCGATGAGGGAGTAACGGGCGAGATGGGCGAGGCGGGAAAAAAACGATCGTAAGGGTAAAAGGGCGGGGGAGGATGGTGGCTTACGCCGATCACGCACTGATAGCACGGACACGCGGGTCGCGATAACGGCGGACTCGAACTTGCGTCGTCATCTTTGAGACGTAACGGACTAAAACTAATTCGTGGAGAATCGCTCGAGCTGTGAGGTGATTTGTTGCTGGAACTGGCGGGGCTGAAGACGTCCTCGTCTTCGCTCTGTTGCTGGTACCGCTCTTTGTCGGCATTGTCGAAACGGAACACTTCGCCAGACATGTGCTTTGTAGTAATCAACGCACATCCATTTTCCTCGGGCACGTTCAGTATTTGGTTGTTATTGTTGATTATGTTCGCTAGTGGAAGATTGGTGACGTGACCTGTCAGTTTGTCCAACACTTGACTGAGACGCTTCCTCTTGCGTTGTTTGGCAGGAGGCCTATTTTGGCCTTTTGTAAGCGGTAGGTCTATGTTATTGTTATTGTTGTAAGTCTTCTCGTGTGGTATTGAAGATTCAATTGCAATCTCCGCCATAGTCATTAGAACAAATGAGTAGATTGCCGCAAGGTCTGCGGCTGCCCGTCAGTGTGACTATACGCCATGTGCCCCAGGCGGGATCTGAAACAAAAACATTACGTTTAGTACATCTTCGCTCAGGGAATAATTACTTGTGGAATCATGACTCGAGCATTTTTCATAGAACGATTGAGACAGGGAGTTCGATTAAGTTAAGCAAAAAATATAACGTTCAATCCAAGATCAAGGTCAAGATTGTCATGAAATTAATTACGAAAATCTTTAGTGCGTGACGTTTTTAATTAATTATGTCTTTATTTACTCGTCTAGTTACGTTAAGACGATGCGGAAGAAAAGTATGGTGCGTAATTGTTATTATTTAACACAAACGCAAATAAGGCGTAACTTAGCAACTGTGCACGTCTACTTTGTAGAGTCAATTTATTACCAGATAGTCCCATTCTTATACGTTTTTCTCAAGATGTTCTCATGATGTTTTACGGAAAATATTCACACCCCTTAAACATCCCAGGTTTTAACTTCAGCTTAAGCGCATCCGCCCATGAAATGTGCTAAAAATCTTCGAGTCGTTTTAAAGAAGGACACTGTATAATGCACATTTTCGAAAAGTTGTTTAGAGCTACGTCCCCAAATGCCCCAAAATTTCTCAAGAACGGTAACAGAAAAGTGAAGCTACTAAGCTTTTAAGTGTGCCATCTCCGATTTTGAAGAAAATAGCGTCTGAAAATATTGGTATAAACCACGAGATTTGCTCTTTTATCAGAAAATATTGGTATAAACCACGAGATTTGCTCTTTTATCAGTTATAGCATTGAATAAAAACACTATTTTATTCAATGGTTATAGGTAGTTCTCAAGAAAAAGATTAAATCGTTACGTTTTTTGACGGCATATAAACTAAAACGCTTTGATCTTTCAGTTAATCTTGTGTTTTATTGAAAGTATTGAGGCTGTAGCCCAGGACGTCATGATTCCTTAATCCGGCACTGGAAATAATTTATTATTTCTTGCTTATTAATGCTCGCCTTGAGCTATCTTTACTATGTACTGAAAATGTGAGATTTTGAAACTGGAAACTAAAGAAGCCCGCTAGGGTAGGGTTGCGAAAAGAGTATTGTGTTCTTTTCGAGGTATATAAGGTGTTTTACTTGTTTCTATTATATCATTTTATCAGGTTCCCACTGTAGGTTTTTCAAACCGCCTCGCTTCACGAGAATTAGTGTGTCATTAGGGTTGGTCCTACCCCCGTGTCGCAGCCAACACTTCTTGGCTGGCTGCCTTAAAGAGGTAGCGTCCGTATTCGTTACCAATATCCTTCTTTTACTTATATCGCAATCCGAAACCCATTTATTAATGTGGCATGTAAGTTTGAATTAATTTGATTTTGAACTAATATAAGCTTGTATTCTTACTTCATTTTCAGTTTATATATTTTGTTCACTTTTAGGCGTGACTTGTGCACGCCTAGAGCCCAAAATAAGGGCTTTGTCCAACGTCGGTGATTGTTTCACTAGAAAATCCGTTTCCCCTAGCTAGCCGTGGCCAATTCCCTTTTCCTTCTCGAGTTTGCTACAAGGTTTTTTATAATACCAGATGGCAGAGGCGGACTCTTTCCACGGTATTGTATGCAATTTTTCATCCTTCAGATACGGAAAGGTCCGCATGAGTAAATTGGACAAATGGACGTCTCTGTGAATTTAATTCGATTTAGCAAGTTGATGCGAATTTAGGGAAGGTTTGCCAAGTTAGGGTTGAAAATGGAATGTCGTTTGGAGTTAAGTAGCTTTGGGAAATAAGTTCTTTTTCAAATAGAGGGGTAAATTGAATTTCTCTAGGGTTACGCTGTTTTATGTATTGGCTATTAGGTGTACGGAGTGTGTCCTGCATAACAGCACTAATTATTCCAACATTTCAGTTTATGGGTCACTTGTTTCTGTGTGCGTCGTGATTTATTAATGGGTTTAGGATGTTATTGGTGTCAGTCTCTTAAACGTAGAGAATAGATAAGACTGCTTTAATTGGTTTTACGCGTCCAAAATGCTAAGGCAGAGTTACGCCGAAAGATCTCTTACTTGAAACCCATGGGAATCGCTTAATTTGCTCAATACGCGTGCGTCATTGGTAGAGCTGAACGAATCCCGATCATTCATGATTAAAAATGGCCGATTTTATTAATAAATCGTGAAAGAATTGTGCCAACGAAAAACAAAGTAGGAGAGATTTTTCGTGAGATCAATTTTTATGCGAGTAGTTTGAAAAACTCGCTACTATACGGATGCCACGGAATTAAGGTGGTTAGAAGATGTTCCACGGGATGCCAAGTAAATTAGGGTACGTATCCTGGAAATACGTGAATTTTGTGCGTACGCAAGAAGAAAGTAAACACGTAATTATAAATGGACCAAAAATCAGTTAAATCGATCCGTCGGAAAGAATAAACTCACCGGTAAAATTGAAACGGTAACCCTTTCGGTTAGAAGCAGTTTTTTACTTTTCAGTTCAATGTTAAATAACTAAGTCTTCTAACTGAGTCAAATATGTAAATTTTCAATTGTTGCGCAAAGAGAAACGACGGTTGTACAAAATTTAAATATATCGCCATATTTTGGTTTTGTGTATATCATTTAGAAAGGTTGGAAAAAATAAGTCCAATTTTAATAAGCAACGTATAGCAAGGTAAATTATTAAGGTGAGCTAGCCGTCGGTTAAATAACATTCCTGAAAACAGCAAAATTTTGCAATTTCCGTTCAAATGAACACGTTTAAGGAGGTCAAACACCTTATTGTAATCCTGGTTACAGGATATTGATCGGGTGACCGTACATTTAAATGGTACATACTGTATATTATTACATTTTTTGCATTTAACATTTAAATTTATATTCATTTAGTACCCGGCCATCTGTATATTTTCTATGTAAGCTCGTTTAATTTTAGATCAATGTTTGGTTAAATTCTCTACCTACTGTTGCGCCACTGGCATTTAACCATAATAATGTACTGATTTGTAATGGTAGGAGGTTGATTCGCGCTCCAGCCCTAATAGTATAAAAAATTAAATATTATTCTATAATTCTGTACACAATAAGCTGCGTCCATATAGACAATGATCGACAAGCCCACTTCCGGTTGACCATTGTCTCTTGACCGTTTGTAAGTTATCATGTATACAAACGGGCGGACGGACAGACAGAAAGTCCAAAATCATGAACTCTCTTATTGTCGCTCGTTAATATAAATGGTATGGCTTAAAATCTAATATATGTTCCCATCTCATCTTAACGCTTGCGAAAAAGTTGTACACGATCCATTATTAATGAGCGATCCGCTTGGTTCATAATTTTTGACTGTCTCCCCGTCCGTGCGTCCGTTGTAGTACATAATATCTCGCGAACGGTTTCGAATTTTTCAATTCTGTTTTGAGTAATAGATACACAATGGTTAGAGAACTAACTGACTAAATTTTGGTCATTTTAACTTTCTGTCCGTCCTTGTCGCTCGTTTGAAACAGTTTATTGCCTTGTATTTGTGACTTGTAAATCGATTACTACACGCGATAGTATTTACATTAAAGACCTGAAAGAATGATTTCAGGTATTACCTTGTTCAAAGATATTGCTATTGTGAATTGCTTCGATACGCTTTACGACACCGAGAACCGATTTGATTCTAAAAATAACGTTAACGAGTATTTTTGTGAATTGCCGCTTTTACTCGCAACTCGTGTGGATCAAAAGTTTGCTTTTGCTTTCTAACTTAGCTACGCTCTTTTTGTTTTTGATATATCTGATTGCAGATTATTGGCAGACACAACCCTTCTGAGCTCGGATAAGCTGCGATTACAACTCAAAAGTGAGATTTTAATTTCGTCGAAACTCCATGAGATAATCACTTTCGATACAGCCAAGTTGTAATTATTATTTCTACTTGGATAGTGACGCCAACAAACAACATGCATTTTTTATTGCATAAGTCCTAAAAATACCTATAACTATCTATTTAGCTGTACATTATAAACTTTGAGCAGTCCAAATTTAATCTAACAATTGTTATCTCTCCTCTAACAAACAGTCACAAAATACTTCACTACTTTATTAAAACAAACCATTGAAAACATTACATATTTGCCGAACGATGTCATAGACGCCATCTCATTTATCATTCGACTGAACTAATCTACATGTCTAACTTCATAACATTTAGGAAACAGTGTTGTCACTTTTACATAAAATCATACAAAAGCCTGTTGCCAACAAACATCTCTTACACAATTCCAATGATTTTTTTTGTTTCATTGCATTTCGATTATTTCCACAACGCTTTACATGGCCAATATCATTGTCCGCTTTTGATTGGACACCTTCTACAAAATGTTCAATAAAAAATCCAGTTGAAGTTTGAATTATAAAAAGTTCATTGTATGAATGGATAAGTAGTCATCGCCAGACGTTGCTAGAATCGAATGGTACACACTCTCAACGCCATGTGTCGTTAATTACTGGACAAATCATTTGCAGGATCGCGACGGTCGACAACGCTGATAGAGAAAGAATCGCTTTCTGTACAGTGCAAACTGAAAACTCAGATAACTAGTTTATATAAAAAGTTGCAGCTTCCTACCGAAATGCGAACGTTATAATTACTTGCTTACCCGCTAACAGCTTCCAGCAGTCTATCTGGATTTGATAACAAAAAAACGGTACGCTTATTGAGTACCTACTTTACTAGCAATAAATCTAATGTTTAATGGAAATCTTGCCTAGAGTACTAAAGTGGAAGAATAATTACCGTAATAAATAAAAGTCTAGATTTTAATTTCATTAATTACGCTATTAACGGCAGAAGTCATTTTAAGACGTGCCGCACGGCGCTGCACAGCGTTCAATTTACTTTAAGAAAGTGAAAGTTAGTAACAGAAAGTCAATTATATGTGTAATGAGATTTTATAACTTCATTTTCTAAAATCTTTATTCGATAAATTTATTATGTTGTAAAACGCTAAACTGTTCTTATACCAACAATTCAAACTGGTCTAGTAATTTGTACTAGTTTTTTGTTTGCAAATTGTAATGTTAGG